AATCGTTCCGCGAATGAAAAAGTGATAGCTGGCTTGCATCCGGAGCACACATCGTTTTTTAAGATATTTTTCAATGTAAAGTATTGAATATTTCCATTCTTTATTTCTATTCAAATATATTTCGAGATAAATTTGCTTTTCGATTTTTTCTCTCTGAATATGAATGGCAAAAGTTATGCAAGGTTATATTTTAGATGAACATCGTTAATATAAATGGTGTGACTGGTTCAAAATGTTTCAACATGTAATTTGTATGTAATTTATGCCTTGCATATTGTAATTTGTACTTTTTACCTTCTATTACAAGATCTGATTAAAACAGAAATCGGATTATAACCTTGACGCGTCCTTGTCCCGTCCCCTGCATATATATTTGATACACACCGGAAAGCATTTATTTCTTTAGAAAGGCGCACATACGTGTGTATTTAAATCTGATTGAAGATGGGGATCAGGAGGGATAAATTTTTCCCCTACTCTATTCTTGTCCGTGCATACGTCCGGTACAGTTAGGACTCGTTCCGTATGCAAGCCCCGTGCAAAAGAGAGCCGGTATCGATTGCAGAGCGACGAATAAAAATGCGATATCGCTTTTTGCGTTGTCGTAAACTCCATATATTTCTTTTTCCGTCGCGCGCGTTATTCGTCGGTCGACGATCCTCACTCCCCCGCCCCACTCCATTAATATTCCTCTCACGACGACTAATATCCTGCGAGAGAACGAAAGAATTTCCTTTCATAGGAAGTCATTCTATGCACCGCGAACCGCAATCTCGGAGCTTCACCAAACTTGTACCCCGTTTTCGCGATACAATAGAACTATTACAATTGTAAATTTTACTGTGAAACTTCTTTAATAATATAATTCTTCATTTCGCGAGTGTTCTTACGATTCGTACAATGATCACGTTATTGAAGGTGGCGCTTTTGTTCCTTCGTCGAAATCTCTGCTGATTTCATGGGGTATTAAAGGCTACCTGAATGAGAAGATTTACTGTTGGTATTGTAGGGTTACTCTGTCATTACCCAGTGGTCAGTGAACGAGGATTTAAGGCGGGATTGCTATTCTTCGCGTGAACACTGTTCTCGTAGCTGTTTTTCTTCCCTAGATGCAGCAGAAGCCTTAACTTTCTGCGCAGTCTTACGTTAAGCCATTGGGAATTATTTCCGAGGATTATCTGCTCCTATTTTCTGGCCCAGGCTTCCCCAGCATCCTTCCAAGAATTCGTTTCGGTCGATGTATTAAGAGAGTGGAAATAGGGGAATAGAATTTAACAACAGTATCGACTGATCAAGCCTTCCAGGTTATTCTTTTCCTAACCTATTTCAGATCATCTTATTCTTGAAATTATTAGTTACATGAGAATCGCGATTGAAATCTTTCAATAAAACGAACAATATCTATTATTCGTAACTGTCTGTGTGTAAGACATTACGAAAGAAATATCGTTAATTTTCACAGCTTCCTCGATCGTGCCTCTCACCGATTTCACAAGATCGCTAATGGAATCATGACCGATCCGCGTCAATATTTATCGCGAGTCAGCATAACGACAGTGGGCGTGCGTTAACGTTACTTTTTTTTCCCCCTCTTCTCTCCCCTCGAATTACCGTTGGAAATCTTGCACAAACAATCCTAGTGGGCGAGTGTCCTGACGGAGTTTGACACCGACAAGGACGGCACGCTCGATCGTTCGGTTAAGATACCTTGTAAGGAGGGACAGCGAGGCCGTTTCGTTCGGAAACTCTCCTTTCTTTCGGCCCTACATTCGTTTCTCGGAATCGGTCGTTGTATCGACCGTCGATCGTTATGGGAAAATGTGTGTCGCAAACCGCGAGAAAAACATCGAGAGATAGCATCGTGGTACGTGGCGCTGCGTAAAAAGAAGCATAGCGGGCTCGTGGAGAAAATGTTTCACCGATCTAGGTTATTGTTCGGTTTATAGTTCATTATTTCAAACAACTTCCTACCTGTTGCGTCATATGCTTTCTATCATTGGCTGTTTATCTCCATCACATTTGCATTTTTCTTGTTAGGAACTTCTGTACCGAATTATGTATGAACTTAATGTTTGTTATGCGACGGATGACGGGATGAAATCAATTTGTTCTTCATGCGATACATAGCATGGATGTGCAATACAATTATACAGGTGATTAAATGGTATTGAGAAATCAGCTTTTTAGCACTTCATCGAAGTTTTACATAAATCAGAGGATTAAGCGTAAATCCGATACTGGAATAATAAAGATCTTCCATGCAATTCTAATTTTATTCATTTTCGTGACTAATCCAAGGAAGATCTTATTGTGTCTACACCGTGTCTAACCTAATCTAAGGCTATTTGGTTACGTAATAAAGCTATTGTGTGATACGTAACAAAGCCTTCATATTGAAAAAGTAAAAAAGTGTAAGATTTCTTATAATTTTAAGAGATACATATAAAGCTTATGTAAAGGTTTAAAATGATTCTCCTTTCAGGACCACAAAAATTCCTACCGCCGCTGGTTTATCACTGGCGATTAGGACGATGCTTGGCGGCTCTGCAAACGATCCTTGGTGTCGCGGTTACTTCGTTGTCATTATGGTTATTGCTTTGGGCACCTCATCTGCCGGTTGCAGATAATCCTTACTGGAGTGGAATGCCGGTAAGTATCGCGGCAGTCTGCTGGGTATCTTCCCGGAAAACTAGCCAGTGAATCACCGCTCACTCCTTTCCCCTTTTATTTGCAGTTATTACTTTCTGGCAGCTTCGGTATTTGCCTGCTCTGCTGTTTCAAGAAAGAATACCCTGGCATGAGTCCCGGGTTCTGTCTCACGTCCACCAAGGTGATTCTTCGCCACAAATAAAATGTTCAAAACTTTTAAACACGCTATTCTGTATTTTATAGAATTTTCTATAT